GAGAGAGAGAGAGAGAGAGTCTCGATTGTTGATCCAGGATAGAACCAGCACCTAAATATGTGCCCTGACCAGGTATCAAACCCACAACCTTTTGGTGTACAGGATAGTGCTCCAACCAACTGAGCCACACGCCAGGGCTAGAGTATGTGGTTTCAAATAGGTTTATGTACCTGATTTTGAAATGTAAATTTTGTAAGTTAGGCATTTGATTTGTTTGTCTACATACCTAAAAGTACATGTATTTTCAACTTGACCAAAAAACACCTTGTGGGACTTTTTGATAGGAAAAATGGAGAAATTTTTATATTTGAAATTGTCTTACAATTGGGCAATATGGTATATGTTGAATTTAATAAAATAAAATTGATTCACATAGCTAACCTGACTACTTAACCAAGCAAAGACCTCTTCCCTTCTATCAGACGCATAAAAAACTGGTAAGCCCTGGCCGGTCTGGCTCAGCGGATGAAGCATTGGCCTGCAGACCAGAGAGTCCCGGGTTCAGTTCCCGCTAGGGACACATACCAAAAGAGAAAACAAAAAATAACAAAAAACTGGTAAGCTTGATCATATTTAGTGGTTTGCCCCACCTCCATTTAATAACCTTTTGGAGACTATAACTTGCAACAGGTCAACAGCAGGAGTTCAGGCCCCATTCCTGGATCTCCCTGTTCCCTCCTTCAGGAACTGCAGTGGTGAAGTGCCCATCACTTCAGCCTGGCTTTCCCTCCTGCCTCACCCCCATCAGCCCCACCCCTCCAGCTGACCTAATTTCCTACCACAGCCAACTTGCACCCTCCATTCATTCCTGGTAATTCTTCCTTCACAAGAGTTCCTTCCACTGGAACCGCTCCCCCACCCCCAAATCCATTCTTTACAACCGAACCCCAGTCCCATGAAAGGAAGTTGTCCTGATGGTCTCGGCCCACAGCAGACTGGCCTCCACTCCCTGAAGTCCTCATGCAATGCAGCCATAATTTGGCACTGAACTGCATGCTTATATAAGTTATTCTGTGATTACTTCAGGCATAGTTTTGTTTCCCTCTAAGAGAGAAGAATTCTGAGGGCAAAGACTAAAACTAATAATTCTTCTAGATTCCCCTCAGAGTTGATTGTCACTTCACTGAATGTGGTCTAATGACATCATGCCATTTCAGGTGGCAGATGCTTTTGCCCCTGTTCAAGGGCAAACTACAAGAAAAACCAGGAGTAGTAGCTTTAGCAAGCAGTTTTAGAAAACCTGCTACTTCTGAGACTGCGCCGGTATTAACCTACTGACCGGAATCACGGAGCATCTGCAGTGGGCTGACTGCAGATGCCACAGAAAGGGAAGACAACCACTAACAACACAACCCCAGCTTGCTTTCTGGAGTTATAAATGGTCCTCCAAGCACCAAATCCATCAGTAAAACAGCCTGTCAAGTACAGACCTTCAAAAAGTACTCAGAACCTGACCTAAGACACTCTATAATACTCATGTGCCACCACCAGAGCCCTGAGTTAAGCAGCCATCATCTGTCACCTGCAGTATTGCAATACCCTCCTAACTAGTTTCCCTGTACCCTCTCCTCCTCACAATCTATTTCTCAACAGTGACCTAAATGAGCCTTATGAAATGCTAGTCAAAGTGTGTCAAAACCCTCCAATCATGGATCAGTCTGGTAGGAAACAGATGGCACATTCAAAATGAGTGTTTTGAAGACAGTCTCTAAGGAGAGGAGTTACTAAGGCATGGGCAGGTGTAGGGAAACCACAAAGGAGAGTGCAGGACTCTGGGGCTGGCAACACAGGGGTGCTTGATCCCCTCCTAGTCCAGAAGGTGTGAAGAGAAGGAGATGGGCACAGAGAGCTCACATGGAGAAGGCACTGTTAGGAGATGTGACCTCAAGTCTAGAGACATGCCAGCCCATGCAATCCTTTAGTAAGGGAATAAATATGCTGATCTCATCCTTCTCCCTTTCTTTCATCCCCATCTGTACTCCCACGGCAAAATACAACCAGAAGCCGTAAGGTAAGGGAGCCTGTCAATGCAGGTCCACTTCCTGGGGCACATCTACAGAGCAGGGTGGAAAAGGGCAGAGTGAACCTGGGGAAGTAAACGGCAACTATCCAGTCAAATGGCTTCCGATCTCAATCAGGGTATTTGAAAGTACTTACGTTAACCTGTGAGGCCCTACATGATCCGAACCCTTCTATTCCCGTTTGTTAAATTCTCCACTCACGGTGGCTTTCCACTCATCAGGCACACTCTTGTCTCAGGTCCTTTGTACTTGCCACCTTCTCTGCCCAGAATGCTTTATCCCCAGATACTCGAATGGCTTGTTCCCTCACTTACTTCAGGTCTCAGCTAAAATGTCACATCATCATCAGATGCTTTCTCTTACCACCGTATATAAAGACCACCCCTGCTCTCACCCCACCCATTCCTGGCACACTCTGTCTCCCCTCTCCTGCTTTAGTTTTCTCCACACAAAGTTGGGCCTACACAGCATTTCTCTCTAATTAACATATCTAATAAATGGTAGGTGACAAAGGGATGGATGGATGGATAGATGGATGGATGGATGGATGGATGGATGGATAGTGAGAGAGAGAGAGACAGACAGACAGACAGTTTTCCCTTTTTTAATTGACTGCATCCTGGCCTAGAACAAAAGTTTCATAAAGCCATCAACTTGGCCTCTTTTGTTCACTGCTTAATGTCCACTGCCTTACACATAGAAGACACTCAAGTATTTGTTGAATAAATTAAAATGAATTAATAAAACAGAAGGAATCATAATTAGAGGCTCTTTCCACTATTTATAGGTTTAACCCCTATTATCAAATTGTTGTTTAACACATAAAGTCTCCTGATCATCACACAGAAAGCAGGTAACAAGCATTTAGTGTGTTTTTTCTTAAGCATTTGTTTTTATTGGCAATGGCACAAAATTGAGCTCTGACAAAATCCCTATGAATAAATGGCTCAAGCAGAACCAAAAGAATAATAGTAGTATATTCTGTAAACAATGCCTCCTAGTAAGGTTGGTATTTTTTATTAATATATCATTATTAGTCTACCAACCTAGTACTTCTCTAAGCCTCAGTCTTCTCATCTGTAAAATGTGTAAGGACTGAATGATACAATGTGTGGACAGCCTTTAGCACTGTGCTGGGACCCAATGAATGGACACTATGATTATTAAAACATTGAGTCAGCCATGAAAATGAGATACTATATTATCTTCCCACTATCTGGAACTGTTTATCCTAGACTTTTAAAATGTGAGCTGGAATAAGAAAGACATGGAAATAAAATCAAAAATTTATTTTCTATCTACCCGAAAGTTGGGCCTACATTTGAAAGACGCCCTATATCAGAACCTAGTTTCTTGGCCCAGGCCTTCGCCCAGCCCACCCTTTTGCAGGCCAGAGCCTTGTTGTATTCATTTTTGCATCACTCATTTATGCCTAGATACTTCGAATATAAGTGCTGGTGTTTTCCAGGTAGGAACTAAGCAGGGGCACTCTACTGAAAAAAAGTATAGGAAAAAAAAGAGAAAGAGCAGATTAGTAAGGCTCCTGATAATGTTTCTTTTTTTTTTTTTTAATTTTTACTTATCCCTCTAACCATGGAAGTCTCTATTCCCTTTTCTCTACTAGCATTCTCTCCATAGCCTTATGTGCTGGGTCAATTCAGTTAACTACATAAACGGTGACCCAATAGTCTTAGGTCAGATACAAAGAAAAAGTCTTGATCTGAATCAACTAAAAAATTCATCACTTAGGAATACTGCAAAGATCCTGTAGGTTTTTCAATGATGGGAGATTTCTTTTGCAAAAGATTTCTGTAAAAGGACACATTGGTGGTCCAACTGACCTGGGGAGCTAGAGTCAAAGATAAGGGTTTCCTTTTCCACCCTAAAATCCATAAAGTATAAAGTCTAGTTATAATAATCTCTCTGATACTATGTATAGTCAAGCCTTTTTGTTTTTATGAACTTATAATTGTATTTATAGCCATAATATACAATATGATAATTATCACTACTAATTTTGTCTTAATGGAGGCTTCCAACTTCAGATATGAAAGTCAAAGCAGGTCCCTCCAAGGTTAAGCCTGGAGACTGATCTTACTAAGAGATCTTCTTTAGTAAGCAGCCTGATGCTTATTTGTATGTACTAAAAAAAATAAGTCTGACCACTTTTCCTAGTGACAGATGGGTAAACGTTTCCACAGTTACTCGAGAACAGCTGGGGAATGAAAAGAAAAACAAACTATAGTTAACTACTTATTCCTTAAACACTTTTCAAAGTGATCCTACTTCGAGGACTCAGTGAATGACAAGTAGTCCACAATTTATACTTTTATTGTAAACACTTTCCAAACTATATTGTTTTCCTGTCTGTCTTCCCCAACCAGGCTGTGACAAGCTCATGGTCGGGCGATTTATTTCTTTTTATTCCCAGCGTTTAACATTGTGTCCAACAACACACTAGTGATGCTCAAATGATTGAATGACTACTAAAATGTCCACCCACGAGGCGGGCCCCAAATCTGGCACTGAAGGTCAGAAATTAAACAGATCGTGAAATGGCATGGCCTCAGCCTGGCCGCTTCTCTTCCCCTCTGTGTCTAAAGCACATGTAGGGTGGGGAAAGTGCATTATCCATCCAAGAACCTCCCGAAGTCCCGGCAGAATGGAGGGGGCTGTCTGACCCACCTGGGCTGCTTCTGACCTCCAAGCACAGAACACGATTCTCTCCGTTTCCTAAGGCAGAGGGGACCCAGGTACTGTCCTTTCCTCCAAGCCCAACCCTGACAACGACCCCTCCCCACAAACGCTCCACTCCCCAAACCAAGTCCCGGCGCCTGAAGCTTCCCAGAAGGGAGGCCCCGCGCTGCACTCTGGGAATTGTAGTTTCGCGATAAGTTCCGCACACCGGCAGCCTAGCAGATGGGACTCCCACTCCCAGAAGACCCCGCGCGGGCGCCTCGTCTAGTCCTGTCATCTCACCTGTTCTATGGACGTGACTGTTTCCACCGAGTCGTCCTGCAACCGCTCCCTCGCGTGCTCGGGCCTCAGACTGTACAGCGGCTCTGACCAGACAGGGGAGGAAGATGGAGAGCAGTAGTAGGTGAAGGAACTCGGAGAAGCCATGATCAGGAGGAGCAGCGGGCGGTGTATAGGGCTCAGCTTCGTCCAACAACAACGCGCATTGAAACTCGAGCGGGTTAAGGCGCTACGGCAAGCGAATAGAGTCAAAAAGATTGTGAACGCGAATCTCTCTTACCTACAAGTCTGGGAGTGAGTCACTGTGACGCTGACGCCCCACCCTGGTCAGAATTGTTGCTGCAAGAGGTTCAGCTTCCTGGAACGCAAGGAAGGATGTGTACATCTGAATTTCCTTTCAGAGAGATGGTGTATTACGCAAAATACACTTGGTTCATTATGCAAAAAATAAAAAAAACCCACACACTTCTTTTCAACATTCTGCCAATTTTCACTTAATTGCAATGACAGTAGTTTCTAGTCTCAAATGCCCAAGAACCCAATGATTGTGACTTTGGAAGCATTTCTGACAGCTCTCCTGATTGCCTCATAGAATTATTGTGCTCCTTTGGATACGTGACAGCCACCCAGCCAGCAGCTTTCTCAACAAAGGACCTGCCATCTCAGTACTCAGTGATAAAGGGGAAGGGCATTGTAAATTTCTCCTATTCCCTTGGATGTTGCAGTGCAGTAGAATTAAAATGCGATAGAAGGAACAAGTATAAGTGAAACAACCAAGGCAATATTCATTCACTTATTTATCAGGTTTTTTGTAGAGCACCTACTATATGTCAGGCCCTAGCAATACAAAAGTGAACAAAACAGCTTGGTCGGTGTAGCTCAGTGGATAGAGCATCATCCCATGGACTGAGAGGTCCAGGTCCCAGTCAGGGCACATGCCTGGGTTACAGGCTGGATCCCCGGTAGGGGGAATGCAGGAGGCAGTCCATCAATGTTTCTCTCTCACCGATGTTTCTCTCTCTCTCTAAAAAAATCAATAAAAACATATTATTCTTTTAAAAAAATCCAAAAGTAAACAAAACAAACAAGGTCTCTGCCCTTGGAAACCTTACAGTTTAGTAGAATAGACAGAATTAAGTGAATGAACACAATAAATATATGAAGACTTGTGATACATGGTATTAAGGACAACAGGGTCTATGAGAGAAATTAAAGTACAAGGTGCCTAGATTGGGTGGTCAGGCCAAGCGTCCTCAAGTAAATGACATGTAAGCTGAGACATGAAGGATGACAAGAAGCCACCCATGTGAACAATATGGAGAAGAGCTCAAGAGGAAGGAACAGCAAGTTTGAGAGAATGTGCCATAAATATACATATGTATGTTTATATTGATTCTGATATTTAATCTAAAGGTATTCAGAATTTTTAAAAAACCTACTGAATGGGGTTAATCATATACACCTCCATAGAAATAACTTGGAGTTCTGATATTAGAAAACCCCTGCTACCTTTGGTCCAACCATAGAAAAGAATCTTTCAGGGCCTACATCAAAAGGACTACACCAAAGTTATAATACCAAAAAGTTAAACTATTCAGAGCACATGGGGTTTATTGAGGGTGGGGGGTGTGGGAAAAGGTAAGTGATAATAGACTTTCTATGTTCCACATAGACTTAGATACAAGCTCAACTTGTATTTTACTCTGAGCATTTTACTCTGTCCCCACTCATTTCCAAGTCACATGTCTAGGACCCAGGGAATGGGGATGTGATATTTCACAACTAGCCATTCCCCCGTTCTCAGTCTCTGGTGTGCAATAAAAGCACTGATAAAGTTTCTAAGAATGAGGCAGAGATGGCTTAAAGGCCTTGGGCAGACAAACACTACCACCATATCTATTGTGGGGGAGGAAGAAACTTTTATCATGGTTTTTTTTCAGCTGGTCTAATAATTAAATTGAGACACATTAACAAGAGAAAATGACCAAATTTAATTACACATGTACACATGGGAACCCCACATACATAAGAGATTCAGAGACAGTTAAAATAAGTCACGTGTAACATTCTGAACTAAGCATGAGGTTAGGTGCTTTGGAGCTTCAAAGGGTCATTGCAGGACGACAATAAGAAGAGCAGATGTTCAGTAATTCATAGTCTTCCCTGCCATATAGATAAGTTTTTTTTAAAAGGTCACCTCTGATAATCTCTCATTATGAGCAAGGCCCCTACTTCAAATTCTTCTAGGTAGTTAAGGGAGTGAGGGGCAGAATTTCCTCTTGAGCCCACAAGCTCTCAGTTGACCTTAGCTCAAAATAACCTCCATAAAACATAGGCATCTTTTGAGGTGACTCCTTCTGAACCCTTATACCACTTCATCGATACTGTTGCCAAGTTAAGTCCTGGAGGTGGCAGAATGTTACTAAATCTGAGAATAAGTGAGACAGTGTGGGTTAGGATCACAAATATAGTTACACTATACTTCCCTCTGTACCGACAACTTAACTGTCTTTCCCTTAGTTCTGTTTTAGAAAGAAACTGTCTGACAAAAAGGTCTGGGTCATATCTAAGGATTAGCCTTCTTTGTCAAGAGTTGCTTTGCTGGCTAGAAATTTAAATTGAGCGATTGAAAGAGTAGTTGGAAGCACTTTGTAACAAAATGTTACATCTATCACAGGTTTACCTAAAGCAATTGCAAATTGTATTCAAGAAATATAAATCCATTAACGAAATGCACTCTCTTCTGCAGTGGGGTCTGACAGATGCTAATAGGGGCAGGGCAAGAGTCACCTGCAGTACAATGTCTGTCCATTCAGTAAATATTTGTTGAGTACCCATTATGTACTGGGCACTGAACTAAGTGCTGAGGAGACAGTGGTGAACAAGCCAGACATAGTCTCGGCTCTTATGGGTCTCATGATTAACCAGAAAAAAACAGACATTAAACAATTGTTGCAGAACCTTTTCATTGGAAATAGCAGGAAGGAGAAAGAAGCACAGGGTGTAGTGAGATTGCATAACAGAGGAGACTAGAGGTTATATGGAAGATCAGTAAAAACTGGCATGAGGGAATGAGTTAACTAACCCAGGGTGACAGGTCATCCCAGGCAGAGATAACCCAGTGACAACCAAAAATTGGGTGAAACAAGGAATGAAAAATATGAGCAATTTGCACTCTGTGTAACATCAAGAAGATTGTTCAGCCCTGGCTCAACAGTGGCCCACCAGTTTAATAAAACCATTCATTCAAGAAGCAGAATGAACAGCCCTGACCCGGTGGCTCAGTTGGTTGGAGCATTGTCCCACACACCAACAGGCTGTGGGTTTGATACCAGGTTGGGGCGCGTATGGGAGGCGACTGATCAGTGTTTCTTTCTCACATCGATGTTTTTCTCTCTTTCTCTCTCTCCCCCTTTCTCTGTAAAATCAATAAACATGACCGACTGGTGTGGCTCAGTGGCTGAGCATCGACCCATGCACCAAGAGCTCACCGGTTCGATTCCCAGTTGGGGCACATGCCCAGTTGTGGGCCTGATCCCCAGTGGGAGGCATGCAGGAGGTGGCCATTTGATGTTCTCTTTCATCGATGTTTCCATCTCTCTCCTTCTCCTTTCCTCTCTCTAAAATCAATAAATAAAAAAATGTTTAAAAAATAAAATCAATAAACATATCCTCAGGCGAGGATTAAACAAAACAGAATGAACATAAATATTGGCAATATGGTAGTGAATAATGTACTTATAGGAGAAAGTCTCTGTAATAATTCATAGAAACTCTGGCTTGGACTATAGATGATTTGGGTTTATTTTGCTCAAATTCCTGATATTTTTCTAAAATAAACTGTGAATTATAATGGTTCCTTTAAAAATAATGCAAATTTATATAGATAGTGTTATTTTGTACTTCCATAAAGAACAAGAAAACAACACCCTGGCCAGTTTGGCTCAGCGGTTAGAGCGTCGGCCTGCGGTCCAGAGAGACCTGGGTTCGGTTCCCACTAAGGGCATGTACCTCGGTCGCAATTTGTCCCCGGCCCTGGTTGGTCGTGTGGGTAGCAGCCACTCGATGTGTCCCTTTCATGTCGATGTTTCTCTCTCTCTCTCTTCCTCTCTCTCCCTCCCAGTCTATCTGAACAAAAAATGGAAAAATGTCCTCGGGTGAGGATAAAAAAAAAAAAAAACAAAACACAAGAAAAAAATTAATAAACTAAGTGAACCACTAGAGGTCCTTCTGACCCTAGAGTAGGCCTATAAAGTAGGCTCTAAACTGCTCTGCCATTTACTCACAGAAGCCCATATGTCCATGAATTGTTTCTTTTAATATCTTGTGAAACCATGCAATGCATATCTTGGAAAGTTTAAGAAATGGAAAGAAATCAACTATTATCTCACTAGACAGTTAATTTCCTCCCACGTAATTACTCTTCCATCAGCAGCCTCCCACTCTGCTGTCCTTGTCTCTCCTCCCCCTGGATGCAATGACATCCCAGCTTTTACCTAGTGCCAGCCCCTCCCTCACGTGTCCCATCCCAAGACTTTATTCTAGCAATTTTCCCACGCCTTTCCTCAAACATCAAATTGTCCCTATACTTGATCCCTCCCATCATCCTCAAACAGGCTACTTCATTCTTTGTGGAGGGGGAAAAAATACATTTTTAATCCTCTTGATTGCACTCCTCCTCCAGCTACCTCCCCATAACTCATCTCATTTCCTCCCTACCGGAGTCTTCAGTTCCTCTCCTCCAACTGTCTCTTGAACCCATTCCAACCTGGCTTCCCCACCAGTTCTTGTCAAGTCCCCATTATATTGTGGAATCCAAGGGCCAGTTCTCATCTTCCTACTTCCCGGCAACATTTCACATGGTAGATCATGCCATTCTCCTTGAAATACCTTTGTGGAGTGTGTGGCACTGGCTTTGCTATTTCTTCAACTCCCGAAACCTTAACTTTTGGAGCAGCCCAGGGCTCTCTGTCTATAGTCATTCGCCTATGAACCTAGGCAGTCTCAATGTTTTAAATACCACCCGTAGGTTGAAAACGTCCTCATTTATTTCTCCCGAACTCGAGTTTGTATCTAATATCCTACTTCCATTTCCACTGGGATGTCTAATAGGCATATCATACTTACTGTGACCACAACAGAACTGGTTTCCATTCTCAGTAATGGCAACTTCATCCTTCCACGTACTCCAACTCCCTTGGAGCCATCCTTGATGCCTCTCTTTCTCTCACTCCTTATACATCTTGTTGAAAATACAGTATATCGAGAATCTGACCGCTGCTTACCGATCCCACTGCTAGTGTCCTTGTCCAAGTCACCATCATTTGTTACTTGGATTCTTACATTCATCTCTAAGTTGTTCTCCCTGTTT